ATTGGCAAATATTTCTAAAGGTAAGTGATATCTACAAAAACTGATTTGACCTTAAAATTGTTATTACTTTGACTGTTGATAGATGATTTTCAAAATTAAAATTTCCTAACTTCAATATTTAAAGAAAGTTGTTCTGCAAGTTAGCCGTTTTCAATTTCGAAAAGACTGGATGTCAATATCACAATTATTCTTGAGACTGGAAATCCATCAACCTCACAACAATTTAACTCTCTTGGACCAGACGCAAAAACCGCTCTCGCAACCAGATCGATATGACCCCTCTTGTACAAAACCTTTGTTTTTTCATGATTTGAGTCCATGATTTATGTAAGCAAGCTTGGCTTCTCCTGTTTCCCGTCGACATATTATGTTCTATTTATAGTTATCGAGATTAAGAAAAATTAACTTGCAAACTTCAGTTTAAAAACTTCGAATTTTCTGCATTGTTTATGATGACGTTACGTCAATGGCGTACATGACTCTAGAGGAAAACTTGGGTGAAATTATTATGGATAATGAATCGGATAACAAGGATTTTGAAGTATAAACAGACGGTAAATTTGTCATAAATAACTCTGCACTAGACCTAGTTGATCCTGCGTAATGGGTGCACAGTCCACAGATTCACAGCTACTCTTTTTGCGAAAAATGTGGAGGTCCGGTCCGTTCAACCGGGCTTCAAGGGAGTAAATATGAAAACAAATTACATTTTCTGAAAAATCAGACTAAATGCTAAAATAAATTCAATTCATGTTTGGGGTTTGCATCATTGCTTCTGTATTAAAGTTTCATTTGAAATTTTTAGGTCTCAATTCTAAAATTAATTCAGGTCGGGAGCGTGCATTGGTTTTAAACAATTCAGGACCGAAAGGGTTAAACCAGTTTATAGAACAAATTTTTTTAAATATTGAAATTTCAAGTTTGAAATTCATCTATCAATAGTCAAAATAATAACAAAAGGAAAAGGTCTAAACAGTTGGTGTAGATTTCAGTTACTTTTAGAGGTATTTGCCAATTTTGGGGTGACAATTTGCCGGCTGACATGGCAAACGGATAATTTCATACCACTTACATTCTTGATACCACCTTTTTTTCGTACTCAAACTTTATTTATTTTTTGTACGAAATGTGAGTAGGGCCTACCGGTATATAACAAAACTTATGTAGGCCTACCATTTTATAATATTTTTTTTTCAAACAGCAGGCAGTCTCAAGTCCACCATATTGCAATGTTAATCTAAAATGGGTGTCATCAGTCTGGACTGTTTGTAGACTGACAAATATTGACGCCCCTAAAAATTTCATGTGAACCCTCTACAGTACGTATATAAATTTAATATAGCCGTTTTCACCAGCCCATAAGGTAGAGAAAAATAGGACATTTAAAACACTATTTCTATTCAATTCCAACTGGTCTTGCCTCATCATCATTATGGCGTCAGCCATCTGCCATGCGGTCTTCGTTCTAAAATCTTGAGGGATGGGGAAAGAGTCAAAGACAACTCTGCAGTATACAGACAGGCACTAGCAGTTCTAATTTATGTAAGTGAGAGGCTCAGAGGAATTCGTCGTCAATCAAATTCTTATGCTTGGACGACTTACCGACTGGTAGGTAATTCTGGTTACTCTGGTACTGTGAATTTGATGTTGATGTTTACAGTTGGGTTATGGCCATGTTAGCGAAATGGCGCGAATAGACGGTTGCCGTTAAATGGTCGCGTCAAGGCTGCAAAACGAAAAATTCCGATTATTTATTTCTATCGGCAGTATGAGTAAGCTATATTTATTGATCTATTTAGGAATCAAATAAGGTGTAAAACTACAGCTGATTTTGATATTCAGATGAGTTTCACTCGTTAACGTTGACTAATTCATGTCGTGAAATTCAGTCACGTGTTGCGAACTTGCACGACCACTAGATTGCGTCATTGTTATTTTTGGCTGAAGCATGGGCGTCGCCAACTGGAGGGTTTGAGGTTGGGAGGCCCGGGGAGGGGGTGGGGGTACACAGTCGGTACAACGCCTGAAAATCGTCCCCTTTTGGGGTTTTTGAGCCAAAAAATCGGTACAACGCTCATGTACAACACCCCACTCATGGGGTACGGAAAAATGACACCGGAAAAAAATGATATGGAAAAAATGGCACCCGGAAAAAATGGCATTCGGAAAAATGCCGCAACCGGAAAAAGGGTGTATACATACATCACAGTGAGTAGGAACGCCGCCAGGCGTGACTCTCTCGATTACTTATCTCTGTATCCAATGTTTTTTTGATTCTATTTTATTTTTCGGGTGACATTTTTTCCAGGTGCCATGTCTTCCGGTGCTATTTTTTTCGGTGACATTTTTCCTACACCCCCCCCCCCTTTCCCTGTTGCCGCCATTCATTGCAAATTAAGTATCATTTGTAATATGTCCCTCTTTTCTATGGTCAGAGTATTATTCAAAAGCCCGAACTGCCGTCATTTTTATTTGTGCATACATATTATAGGTATGATAAAAATTCCAAGGGGGAATTTAGTCAAAAGTCAATATGTTCTAACTTCCAGTCATTCTAATTGTATTGACATTTTATAAAAGTATAATTGCTTGATCCTGGCATACTTTAAAAATATTCTCGTGAGAAACCGTTATGATCCTCCCTGTTTGGTTATTTTGCGTGGTAAAGGCACAATAGATAGGGCCTACTAAATTGTCATATCGACTAAAGATCTACCTCTCCATGTAAAAGTACAGCCTTCTGTGAAATTACAGCAAACTTGTTATTTCACATTAAGTTACTGTTAATTAACACTTTAACGACTGTTAAAAGTTGAAATTTCACGAAAATGTTAAAAAACAGGATAATCGCGGAAATTTACATCGCAATGTTTTTTAACGAGTGAATTTGTATTATTTCACAGTAATTTCGTGTTTTTTCACATAAACTTTTTACAGTGTATTGTGATCCAAAGTCTCGCCCATTGAAATTGCTTATCGCTCCGCTTACCCTGAGCTCATTATCGAACTTTGACAGACGGACAGGCCCATTTTAATAGTCCCTGCTTTCTTCGAAAGGCGGGAGGGGAGGGGAGGGCGGATCTAGAAAAATGTTCATGTATTTGAAACCTAAAAGATACATATATTTTTATATTCAGTTGTGTTTTATTATATAATAGCAACAGTTTTGTGAATTAACAAGATACATGCATTTGACTCCTGAAATAAATATTAAACATACAGTATGCAAGAGCTAGATCTGTCTATTGCAGGTCTTTCTTTAGGCCAGAAATGTTATATAAACTATTAATTAGACATTTATTAACACGAAAAGACCTTAATCAACTTTTGACGTCATCTGATGTGACGGATTTTATCTGAATTTAATCCGATTTTCTGCTCAACGTTCATTGATGTTTTAATCCAACTATGATAATCGAGACTTTTTTTCATCGTACCTACTTTAGTAATGAGGATAATGATCGAGGCTAGGCCTAAAATTCCACGGCTAATATCTCAATTTAGGGTGGAGCAATTTTACTGAAATGTTCGGCATATTCCCTTTACATTATCTAGTTTTTGATTATTATGTTGAGAACTGCCAGCTCGTTATTTATTTGTCCATAATGTATATTAACTTTCTGACTTGTGTATTAAATCAGCAAAAACGTTATATCAATATAATAACAACCGTGCTTAACAAACATCCGTTTAAAATATTTCGATTTGTCGAAGAGTGTCCACTTAGGCGCTTGTTAAACCGTCCCAGATCTAGGCGATCAACTTTAGTTGAACAAATCTAAATAACCCAGATCGAAACAACAGATCTACCATACTTTCTTATAAAATCAAATATAAACAAATCAGACTGAAATAACATCCATCATACTTACTTAAACTCCATAGGGAGGCGTTAGAGAAGCAGAAGAATGTAATTTTGTCCATTTAAGGTGCACTAGCATTTGAAATTATTTTGTTTCGGAGGAGTCGAATGTGGAGATACAATAATAGATAAAGGTCATAAGGATCGCACATGCAACTTATGATTTTGGCTTAAAAATCGATAAGACAGTTATCGAAAAGGAGTCGAAAATGCTAACAGGCGACGGACAACGAATGTTAACATCATTATATGTGCTTTATTGTGTGTTTTGTCCAAATAATAACACTGTTGTTTGAGCAATGACCATGTTGTTTTTATCATCCAGCCAGATATTGTTAGTTATCCAGTCAGCCATAGATCCAGTGAGAAAGCTTCTGGTGCAGTTAGGATGATTCGCGAAACACCAGCCGCCTCCGTATCGCTCAGCACATCGATAGTCGGTGTAATCTGCGTCATAGGTGGAGAATGGCCGTCCTTCAAGATTTAAACTCCCAGTTATGGAATCACCACATTCGCCCTCATTGTAATCAAACATCATTGCGTAGCCAGAGGATTTGTTTCCAAGTTTCAATCCCTGGTAAAACTGATGACATGCCATCCAGAGAGAGAGGGAGAAATGGGGTTTAACGTCCACTCGACACAAACTAGGTCATTTCGGGACTAACTTATGGTTTAATTTTATTTCAATTATTCGCTGGCGCGTAGGGGTCTTTAGCAGTGGGAGGAAATCGGATGACCCGGAGAAAACCCACGAGGTTGGACAGGCGACCCTACTCCTTGTCATGTACAACCGGGGATTCGAAACCACGCCAGAAAAAGCCCCTCAAACACCTGATCACCACAACGAATTCAACTCTATGTAAGTAAAAACTGACATTAGCTCGACTTCGGGGTGAAAAAAGTAGGGCAGATAACACAGAACAGACTATTGCTCTATTCTGCTCTGAATGGGCTAATGAAGACGGGCGTACGCCATACAGTGTACTATAAAGAGAAGTTTGCCCGGACAGCGCTTATATCGAATTCCATCTGCCAATGGATGTTTTACATGCAGGCCAATGTGTACAAGGTTTTTCCTGCCATCCGAAAATATTTTAGAATATGTTAATTATTATTATTATACAGAGAAAAACCTTAGTTACAAAAAATGTTTTTTATTGCTGTAAATATAGGTCAATAGCATTATTACCCCACAACTATCATATAAAAGTACCTTTGTCGCGAAAAATATACATTTCATGTCGATAAAAAACTGTTTTAATAGTGTCCATTATACATATATATTCATCACATAAACAAACCAAATTGAGCAAATGCAAGGTTATGCTATAGCCAATTTACTTTATAATCATCGGCTATCATTCATTACTTATTTATCAGTATTTGTTATGTGTGCTTATAACGGGCTGTATATAAGAAAATAAAAAAATACTATGTTATGAAGTTCAAATTGACACCGGGAAATCTCAAAGTTAACAATAAAATATAACATATCAATAAATTCTTAAAGTATATAACAAACATCCCACGGTTATCATCCAGGAAAAGACAGGTGTGTTTCCAGATCCAGTTCCAGAGATAGTTACTGAAGAGGAAAATGAAAATGATTGAGCAAAAACACGCATTATATTTATTGTAGATTTATAACGCTACAACACAATTTTTGAATAAATTATTATCATTATCCAATGATTATGGCCATCTGAAAATAATACCTTTTGTTACTGATTATCGACAGATTAAATTAAAGGTGGCACATTGCGGATCTTTAAAGTAAAGACTTTCGATACAGTGTGACCCAAAAAAGGGGTGTATAAAAGCCCTGGCTGATACGAAAGAGATATAATACTATTGAATATATTTATCTAAAACACATAATGTTCTTAATATCTATTTTACTTTTATTCTGACATGTTTGGGCAAATATAGTTTGGGGTTAAATGGGATTTAGAGGCTCAATACCACTCTTGTTGTAACTGAATAATATGTCCCAATCTTTATTCTGGTCAACAAATTGTACTATTTTAGAATATTTCAATTAATTGATGATACAAATTTCATCTTAACACATCTTCTTTAAAAATTTTGAAAAATTCAACATAATATTAATGGTTTGAAACGTCTAACGTAAACCTTTTCAAATGAAACTTCGATTTAAAAATACTTTCGAACCCTCTGGACAAGTAAAATAGGATGTAATGGATAATTTACACAACAGGTAGGACACTTAAACATCTAGTACTTAGATAGAGATATTATTTATTTTCTGGAGCTTTCAAGCCAGCAAGAGTGTTATTGTCCCTTTAAATGTCGCCATGGTATATACTCACCTTTAACAGTGAACTCAGTAGTTTTCTTGATTGGGCCGCCCATTGAATTACCAGCCGAACAGGTATATGTTCCAGCATCATCTGTTTCTAAAGCTGATAAAGACAAAACACCATTGGAAGTCGAAAAAACGGTCGTTCCTTTACTCCATTGAACTATACAGTCGGGAACACAGTTCACAGAACAGCTTAAGGTTAGACTCGATCCCTTGTCATAAGAGGACAGGTTGGGTGTTCTGTGAATAACCATGCTTGCTACATCTGGTGCATCTGTCAAAATATTGAAAAATGAAATGAAATGGGGTTTAACGTCCTACTGTTCTGCTCCTATACTGGGCTTATAAAGAAGGGCATACGCCATACAGTATGTTACGAGGGAAATTTTTCCAGCGCAGCGGCACTATGGTCTACTCTTATATCGAATTCCAACTGCCAATGGATCTTTTACGTGCACGCCAATTTGTACACTTGACCTAGGTTTTTCGTCACAATCGAACGGCTAGACAGCTGTCAGGCCCTCCGTCCGCATCACTGATCAGGGAGAAATCACGTCGGAAAATCCCAATGAACTTTCTCAGTCAATGCCGGGATCGAACACACGACCTCCAGGGATCTTTTACGTGCATTCCAATGTATACACGGGACCTCGGTTTTTCGTCTCATCCGAAGGACTAGACAACTGTCCTTGTCAGGCCCTCCGTCCTGCATCATTGACAAGGGGGAACCACGCCGGAAAGTCTGGATGAACTTTCTCGGCCAATGCAGGGATCGAACACCCGACCTCCAGGCTAGCGAGTCAGCGTCTTACCCACTTAGCCACCGTGGCTCCCCGTCAAAATATTGGGAAAAAAAGACAGGAATGATTATAGCACCATGTGACCCAAAGGATCTCCCCAATACCAAAGAAACTCCAAACTCACATTTGTAAATCCAAGTTAGTGGATTATCTGAATTAGTTACAGTTACTATTCTACTTACGTTTAATCGCAACCTCGATTGATGCTGATTTTGACATGTCGTTACTTGCCATACAAGTATATGTCCCCACATCAGATGTCGCTACATTAGTAAGAGTGGTCTCCCTTCCCACTGAGAGAATGTTGTTCTGGTTGTCTTTCCACACATAACTGCAGCTATTTACCGGCATACAATCAGCTTCACACGTCATAGTTATTGAGGTACCTGGTTCCATTGTTGATGGTGTGCCATCTGATAGGACGACAACTGTTTTTATATAACCTTTAAAACACACAAACATTCATATACACCCCACAGTACAGCAACAGGTTGTAAGCACCACCATTTGCTCCTAAATGGAGCAATAATTTGATGCATAACCACGCCTTACACAAATAAAAGTCAAACCTGGAGATAAAACACACAACAAACAAAGATAGCAAGCTACACTGACCACCAAACTATTATCATATCAAGTGAAAGCTTCCAGTTCGCTATACAGTACCGCGCTTGTAATAATACATTATTTTAAGTTTGCAGCAAGGAAAAAGGAAATATTTGTCATACATTGTATTATTCTAGTATATGTCACGACCGGCTACCGTATTGACAAGATATTTCAGTGTTAGTACATTCGGTGGTCTTCCGTTGACTGAATCAAACATAGTAGGCCTTATTATATACTAACGAGCCAACTAACGTTGACATTAATCTAAAGATGTCGCCGTTATACGGTTCATCAGATAATGAAAGATGATAATTAGCTTACTTTTAACGACAACATTTGAAGAATCTGTGACACTTCCAATAGCATTACTAGCTGTACAGCTGTAAGTGCCATTTAGAGTGATAGTGGTAGTATATGTAGCACTTGTAGAAACTACCACGTTGTTATATTCCCATCTAAAATTACAAACTGGTTTACAATCAGATGAACAGACAAGATTAACATTTTCTCCATATTGCACAATTACAGGATCTTTAGTCGGGGTTATTATAACTGATGATGGTCCATCTGGAAACAAAGATAAACTACACTTAGCACTTAGTGGTTATGTATGTAAACGGAAGTATACGAGTCATTTGTTTAAAAAGTAGATAAGCGACCATCCGTTAAATTTGTTTTGAAAGCGTTACATAATATTCACAAAGTAACTTTAAGGGTTCAGATTTAGACATTTGTTCACTGAATAGATGATACATATGAATGTAGCCTCACGATTTATCTGCCTGGAAATGGATTGAATACGGCCTAGTATTACCAAAAACTAACACTTACAATTAACAGCAACGTTAGTAGATTTAATCGCACTACCTATGACGTTGGTCGCTGTACAGGTATAAACACCATTTTGGCTATTAGTAATGGAGACTATATTAAAAGTAGCAATAGTTGAAACTATAACATTGTTATATGTCCATGTATAATTACAATCCGGTTGACAATCAGAAAAACAGACGAGACTTAAAGATTCTCCATTTGTTATTGTTACTGGGTCTGATGATGGTGCTATTTCTACTGATGATGGTCCATCTGAATTAATAATAATACATTTAAATAACAGAACAACTTCATAATTTAGATTAAAACCATTGAAATTTGTATATTCTTACATGACCGTATTATAAATTATCAGGCCGCTGGGCGGATTTCCCGAGGATCAATTAGCCCAATGCCAGACTTGTTAATTGCATTAAAATTTATCTTAAACAATTTATCCTGGGTTTAATTAGGTCATCTATTTTAAACTGATTGGATATGTCTAGAAAGTACACAATAAGTGAAATAACGAATATATCCTATCCTGTCAAACAGTAGGTGAAATAACGAATATATCCTATCCTGTCAAACGGTACATTTGCCAGTTATGCCTGTGTATGATGAAACATGGTGTCAAAGGTCATAGTTCGTATATATCCACGTTCAACATATATGTTATGATTTTCTGTAAAAGGATGTGCGCAAAATAATTAAGTGGTTAAAGGTAGGTGTATCGCCTTACTTTATTATTATCACAGGGGTGCATTACGCCACTTCCAATCCACTATATGCGCATGCGTCGGTGGTGGCCACCCCTGTCATATGTTACGTTGAATTACAGGTAAAATATACTCACATTGAACTTGTAATTGTATAGATTTGTAAGTTTCAAAGTGAGTATTTGATGACGGTTCATATTCTACGTGGATACATCTATATCTCCCAGTCATCGTGCGAGTAGCCATGTTGATCACCATTGAGTTTCCTTGTCCAGTGTTATAGAATGAACCAGATAATGTATCCCACATATTTGTACAGGTTATACCATTTATGTTATTACATGGGTAGCTATCGGCAGAACACGTTATTGTTATACTGTCGCCTTCAATAACTGTTATAATATCACTCGGTGGATTGATTGTTATGGAACTTCTGTCTTGAACTGTAGGATTAATATATTTTTTTTAAAATATACAGCTTTTAAGTCAATATCAAAACATATTTTATGTAGTTATGTTTATTCAAGTACAAAATCTATTTTTATTTGAAAGTATGAAAATTGTACTTTTCAGCCCGTTTTTGTTTGTATTACAACAGAAAAGGTACATAATGTTACTTTTGGGCTGATACACCCAATAAGACTTTCGTTTACAGAAACAGAAATGAAATGAAATGAAATGAAATGGGGTTTAACGTCCTACTGTTCTGCTCCTAACCTGGGCTAATGAAGACGGGCATACGCCATACAGTGTGCTATGAGGGAAATTTTGCCCGGGCAGCGGCACTACGGCCTACTCTTATATCGAATTCCAACTGCCAAGGGATCTTTTACGTGCACGCCAATGTGTACACGGGACCTCGGTTTTTCGTCCCATCCGAACGACTAGACAGCTTTCCTTGTCAGCCCCTCCGTCCTACATCACTGACAAGGGAGAACCACGCCGGAAAATCTGGATGAACTTTCTCGGCCAATGCAGGGATCGAACACCCGACCTCCAGGCTAGCGAGCTAGCGTCTTACCCACTTAGCCACGTGATCCCCTTTACAGAAACAAGCAACAATTAAAATTTTTTACAATGTTTCAATACATACCATATATTCCTAATGAGCGTTTTAGTTCCGAACCATTAGAAGTGGCAATACATGTATACAGCCCTCCAAGAGTAGCGTTGATATTATTTAACGAAAGCTGACTTGTTGATGCTACTAAATCAGTTCCTTTCATCCATTTATATTGACAGATGTCAGTACATTCGGCTGTACAAGTTAAAACATCGGATTCCTCGGATAGTAAAGTTAGGTCGTTGGTAGCAGATATAAAACCAGTTGAAGATGTTATCTTAATATTTTTTATTCCAGCGTCTTGTAAAAAAAGAATTATTATGATAAGAATATAATACTAACAATAATTACCACAAATATTAATGATTTTCTTACAGTGTTTATCATATACTGGGGGGATCACGTGGCTAAGTGGGGTAAGACGCTGGCTCGCTACCCTGGAGGTCGGGTGTTCGATCCCTGCATTGGCCGAGAAAGTTCATCCAGATTTTCAGGTGTAGTTCCCCCTTGTCAGTGATGCAGGACGGAGTGCCTGACAAGGGCAGCTGTCTAGTCCTTCGGATCAGACGAAAAACCGAGGTCCCGTGTTTACATTCGAATGCACGTAAAAGATCCCTTGGCAGTTGGAATTCGATATAAGAGTAGGCGATAGTGCCGCTTCCCGGGCAAGTGCCCGTCTTCATTAGCCCAGCAGAACAGTAGGACGTTAAACCCCATTTCATTTCATATCACATACTGAGGTGTTTCAATATTTAACTTCCCAACATAAAGACGCTACATTATATTACGGGCATATATATTACGCGCATATGCCCCTTTCTTGTTTACTACAAAATCCTAAATTTGCTATTTAAACTTATGATCGTTCTCAATTTTTCTGTTCGGCCATATTCATGAAGCAATGGGCCGAGAAATCCCTCTCTGGTCATTGCTGGATTGAACTTTATACGCTGTAATGTATTGGTTGTTGATCCGACTGTTGACCAGTGATATTTTGGTACAGAAATTTGCGGTTATTACAGCAGTGTCTGAGTTTGATGGGTCTAATCAAACGAAACACTGCGAGAAGTATGCTGTTCGACTGGCTGCTTCCTCTTCTAGAGTTGCAGTGTTCGGTGCTATGCGAGTTCAATTAGCCCGAAATCAATAAAATTGTACCCACCTGTTGAATTCAAATACACACTATCACCTATAGATTTTGTAAAATCTGAACATCCCCAATATCCTGTATCTCTCCCTGGGTCGAAGTTGTTTATAGTTAGAATACTTATTGTCCAATCGCTTAATGCACCACTTCCAGAACCACATGTTATTGATATATGGCTTATATCAGGGGCGTCTGTTTCACTCAATCTAAAACACCCATTCCCATTCATGAAGTTTGTGATCACACGAGATGGACCTAACCAGCTTAATTCGTCTTGGGCAAATGCAGAACAGGTTAAGGTCACTGAAGAACCTGTTGTAACTGTGGTTTCGGATGCTACTAATGTCATGTTTGGTAACTGTACTGAAGGAGCTGAAAAGATTTAAATATGGCATCATTAGTATATAAGTATAATATGGTTGACAATCAGAACAACAAATTATTATTATGATTTTCCACTTGCTCCTATTACTGGATCCGATGGTGGAGCCGTTACTATACTACTGCTGGTGGTCAACCTGGGGTAAAACTAATAGCATATCGTTTTACATTAGATTGTTTTAAACATTTTAGTTTATCACCCAATAACACATTGTACAGTAGATATCGCTTGTGTGATAAATTTCATAATCTCCTGAGCTATATGTTCTTGGGAGATATCGCATTATATGAATTTGATTGGTCAATTAAAAAGGAACTATATTTGTTTTTATCAAAAAGGAACTACTTTTTGGATTCAGTAATATTGTTGAAGGAAAGGTTTCAATTACCATAACATGTTCGTTTCTTTGTGGCTTTGACATTAAATGAAAGGCCGGGTGAATATATAGGACTTTGTAACGGGTGAGCAGCCAAACAATGATGTATTACTACGCCGTAATGTAATCAGGTTCAGTAAAATTAAATCTATACCAAATATCTATATATTTATTTGTGTGCGCAAGAAAGGGTTGGGTGGTAAATACAATCTCCTACTAGTATTTTTTGATATCAAAAAAAAACCTCGTAAGAGATTCCCTATTTAATGTGGCTCAGTGAAGCTTAAGTTTTCTATCTTGGGGTCGCATTGAGAAACTAAACAGAGCAGTAATTATAGAAGAGCAATTGGCAATTTATTTAGGCAACGACTGGTGAAGTTTTATTTCAACATTACCAAGCAAATGACAAACTAATCAATTTCGAAAATGAAATTGTTTATACAGTTGGCTTCATAATATCCATGTTAATAAAATGTTAAGAAGAATTTACTAATCATATTAGAATTTCAATAAACCTTACCATTTACTACAACATTCGTGGATTTTGACTCAGTTCCTAGTATATTGAACACAGTACAAGTATAGATACCACTTTGACTTGTACTAATATTATTGCTGGTATAAACAGCCATAGTAGAAACCGTAACATTGTTATTTGTCCATTTATAAAAGCAATCTGGTTGACAATCAGCAGAACAGACGAGACTTAGCGATTCTCCATTTGTTATTGTTACTGGGTCTGATGATGGTGTTATTACTACGGATGATGGTGCATCTAAGATAAAAACAATAACATATTCACTGATATATACCATTTATTTTGTTATTAATAATGATGATGAAATTGAAAAAAACATACAATATCCACTAAGGTTTAAAATGAGATTCGACGACGGTTTATCTTTAGATCACAAGGTCTTTCAATGAGTCAACTGTTGTGGGTGACGTCTCATAATTGCTTGTCAAACCTCATTTTTGCACAATAGATTTCCCATCCTCGTAACTACTGGTAAATCAAAATTAGTCTTAAGAATTTTTGTTTTGGCTCTCTTAATTTGGGTTGCTCCAAATTAAGAGCTCGATCATTAGCTTCATCAATAAGTTTCTCGCGGTAATTTTGCTTTCGAAGAAATGCTTTTAGTTCAGCTAGTCTTTCAAGTTTTGTGGGATATTTTAATACACATTTTACACGTAAGCATATAAATTAAAATTACAATACTTTTATTTCTCTCAGATTTGCACATACTTTTATTTCTCTCAGATTTGTGCATAATTTTAAAGTTGGACGACTGTAGTACCTCTCAATCTAGAATGGTTCATTGCTGATCAACATAATATAAAACTTAAATTTATCATTTGTAGCTAGAAAAATAAGTGAATGCTCTTTAAACCTAATTTTGGTATAACAACTATATTTTCTTCTTAATTGAATGGTTGCATTAACAGGGCTTCAAGGCAACGCGTCTTTCAGCCAGATTTCTCCAACACATAGTCAACGTTACATTTCATTTCGAACTACCAAACAATTTCCAGTGTGCCAACACTGTGATAAGTACACCAGTCTGACTCAATACGGAAGAACCGTTAACTAAATAATCATATTAAACTAAAAACAAAACCAAAAAACTTACAATTCACTTCAACATTAGTAGATTGCGTCATACTTCCTACAATGTTGGTTGCTGTACAAGTATAGGTGCCATTTTGACCGGTACTAATGGTACTGATGATATAAGTAGCAATATTAGAGACAATAACATTGTTATATTTCCATGTATAATTACAACCGGGTTGACAATCAGCAGAACAGTTGAAGCTTAGAGATTCTCCACTTGTTATTGTTACTGGATCTGATGATGGTGTTATTTCTACCGTTGATGGCCCATCTGATTGAATAATAATAAACGATACATTTAAATGACATAACAAATGGCATAGGCCTACTGTAGATTTAAACCATTGAAATTTATATATTCTACCATTTCTGTATCATAAATTATCGGGTCGCCGGGGGGATTTCCCGAGGACCAATTAGCCCAATGCCAAATTTATTAATTGTATTTATATAAAACAATATATCCTGGCTTTAATTAGGTCATCTATTTTAAACTGGTTGGATTTGACTAGAAAGTACATAATAGGCCAAAGGCTATTGACCAGACATAATTTGGAACAGAAATCTGCTTCCATTACAGCAGTGTTAAGTGGGATTAGGGCTGATCAAACGATACACTGTGAGAAGTATGATACGTTGCACGCTTTTATTGTTAAAAGGTCAACATTGGGATATATCGCTATTGACGATGGGGCAGCTGAAAAATAAATTCCAGCTTATCATCAACTGCTTTATGGCGGTATATTAAACTCAAAATTCTAAATTTGTTAATGTTGTGCTATCGCCTAATTTATAACTTCTATTCATGTAATTTCTTTAATAAGACAATGCGGGTATAATCCAATTTCTTTATTTGTTCAGCGTAAATATGAATTATATTTGATATTATTTCTGTTATTGAGACGAAACATGTCTTGTTCATTGACGCTTTACATGTTTAGCATGAACATCGAACAAATTTAGAATTTTACATTTCTACCTAGCAACCGTCATATGACATTATGAAGTCGCTTGGTGTGCTCAATTTTATGATTTTTGACAGTACTAGTTCTACCTAGCAACCATCATTATGACGTCGTTTGGTGTCGGTATCTACGTACTCAGTTTGGTGATTGAGCACCTGGTCGGGACCATTACGTGAATCAAACATGATATGGTTTGCAAATACTTTGTCAAATAGGCTTTACAACATGGGGTGTTGATTTGTTTGAAGACAAGTGCAGGATTTGGAGAATTTTATTTGATTTGTTTTTACAGTTGAGCCAATTAATATTTATATACTGTTGATTTGTATTCTATTACTGCTCTAACAAAAATATCACTTTATAATGATATAATTCAACGATATATACATGTATTTAGAAACTCCATATTGTGGGGATAAAGGGGCCTTTAAAGGAGACCGGGCTAATCTGTTCATTTGGATCGCGATGAAGTTTCTATTTCTGATGCGTTCATTATACTAACTTCATGGTAGATTTTTCCAACCATATATTCTTTAATTTGCATTAAGCGATACGGAATTTCATAGATAGAGATATTCTTGACAATATTTTTAAAAAAATGTAATGGGGTTTAAAGTCCTACTTTTCTGAACCGACTGGGCTAATGAGGACGGACTTTCGCCATACAGTGTGCTATGAGGGAAATTTAGCCCGAACATGAATTTCAGCTGCCAAAGGTTTCGTCCGTTCCGAATGACTAGACACTGTCCTTGCCATACACAATAACGACGGTCTTCGCAAAACGTAGTGACGGAACTATAAATAGTGTCAGAAATATTATAAAGCTCAGATTTCTCCGTGGTTAAACTAGCAGACGATGTTATATAACCCATATAAATATATTTCTATGATACTATTGTTATTGATACAAAACGGGGGTAGGCCTGGTAAAGAGAGTGGCTAATCATTCGGGTGGTATAAAGTGACATGAATTGGCTCAACTGTAAAAAAACAAATAAAGTTCTCCACATCCTGCATTTGTTTTCATAAAAAAATTAACTAATGTTGTATAGCCTTTTTGACATAGTATTCCGAAAATTATATCAGGTTCGATGTTGTTTCCAATTATAAAAATCCGTCCAACCATTCCACCTGACGAAGAGAGAGTCGTTTACATCAACATAATGGCCCCCATCAGGTGCTCAATCACCAAATTGAATACACAGTGGCGACACCAAATGACGTCATAAGGATGTTACAACAGCCGTACAGGTGAGAGTAACAGATGTACCAACGTGGACAACATTGCTTGAAGCCACCAATGTGAAGTTCGTTCATTAAAGGATACATCTCTCAAAATAAGAAGACGATAGGTTTAGCCGTTGTTGGTTATTAACATCAGAAATGTATTTCAGCCGATGGGTCATCCTAGCCTCGTTAGTTTATACCAGATGTAATTAGGGCCAGACTCTTTCGGGGGAAAACTTGAAAACATAGACACCCTACTTGTTGGTAATAAGAAGAGTTTGGTTGGTCGCTTTCTGAGCAACGTTTTCAAATAAATAAATATGTCAGGTGTCAATATATATTAAAAATAAAACAAAACATTGTGAGCATCTAATTGTGGGCATTCACGTTTACTTATTTTATGTGTGCTGAATATGAAATTAGTATTCTCAAAATTGTATTTTTAATTTTATTAAAGTCAGGTTAATTTATCTGATCAGCGTTTGGTAAGCATGATAAATCCCGATATGGTAGCCAGATTTCCGTTGTATTTAGTCAGTTAGAGCAATAAAATATTTAGCATATCGGCTACGGTTTAAATTCATATTCCCACACTTCTAGAAATAACATTGCAGATGAACTACCAGCTACATTGTTTGTTGTACATGTGTATTCACCCCTTTGACCTCTAGCGATATGCGACATAGTGATACTAGCAGCAGTTGAAATAATTGTTGGGTCAGTTAGAGCCTTCCAGAAAAAATTACATTTGATCCTGATTTTATTGTTGAAAGGTCAACATCGGGATATATCGCTATAATTGACGATGGATCAGCTGAAAAAGAAATCCGAGCTTCATCAACTGCTTTGCATATTTGATATCATTATATGCGCATTTTATATCATATTATATCATATTAGTTAAAATGAATAAACATAGACAAATCCTTGAACAATAGATTAATAAGAATAACTTACATGGAACTAAGACTTGTATTGGTAAAGTTCTATAAGTAATCCAGTGAGTATTAAATGTTTCTTCGTCTTCAGTATAAATGCATCTATATATTCCAGCTTGCGACACAGTTGCGTTGTTAATCACAAAAATATTTGTATTACTGGGATTAAATATTTCCACATAAGTTAAAGCATCCCAAAAGTTCTGGCACATATACCCAAATTGGTTGCACATATAATGTTTTTCAGTTGAGCAATTTATAGAAATGGTCTGCCCTTCAAATAATGTTATTGAATCTCCTGGTGGATCAAATTTAATAAAATCTCTTGAAAAGACTGAAATTGAAATTTTACATGAATTATTTGTCAATTTGAAGGAGCTCAACCGCTAACATTTGGGACCTAGAAATTGACACACGTGGGTCGCAACTTATATAATACTGTAATATGAATGTATATAAACTGATATACATTCAATGGTTTCCGTTTTTACTCTAATTTCAAATTAGTTATGTTCCGCGAAATAAGCCCGCAGTCTCAATCGAATGCAAATTTCTAGCGTCTGGTTATTCGAGTCTACATACGCCGTTTGGTTTGGTGGAATATGTCTAGCCTCGTTCCTCGAGTCTCTTGCTAGAACTGGGGCTGAAACGCATTATGGTACACGATTCGTGTACCAATGTCAAAATGTTTATTTTGTCTTAAATATTGGATATCAGAAGCCCATCTTTTTCCGGTTAGATCACAGCATCAATGTTGATTTAAATTGACAAATAATTTGTATTTTCAATGTTGAAGATTTTGGATGATATTGAGTTAGAGACTTAGCTACTTTAAATCAACATTGATGTTGTGATCTTACCGGGAAAAGATGGACTTCGGATATCCAATATTTAAGACAAAACAAACAGTTTACCATTGGTACACGCTACACATATTCCACGAGTTATGTCAAACGTTGACGCCATATTCTTATCTGGAGAGCATGCGCAATAAATACTATCGGTGTAGACTGGAATAACCAGACATTTTCATTCCATTGAGACTTCTGTGGTATTTCGCCGAACATAATTGATTTGAAATTAGAGTATAAAGGGAAACGATTGAATGTAAATCAGTTTATATACATTCATATTACATTATTATATGCGTTGCGACCCATTTGTGTCAATTTATAGGTCCCAAATATTAGCGATTTAGCGCCTTTAAAAAATAATGTTTTCCAAGGATTCCTACGCCAGCATGTTAATATGGTCGAACATATTGCTATAACTCGTCCATATGCGTCGGCCCATTCAATATATTTTGTAATCTATCAGTCTGTGATATCTCACCAAAACTCCGTCATAACTCCACATATTACATGGTACAATTTGAAAAAAAATATATATCAATAATTATAAGCCATTAGATCTTCTGAGACCGACTGCCATCTTTCCGGAATTGTTTCAATTCAACCAACGACTTCGACCAGATCTTAAAGTGTAAAATCCACCAATCCGAAAAATGTACAATCGTCATCGCCGAATAATAACGTATCGAATTATTATAATATTTTTAAGAACTGTATATATATATACAGAGTCTAGAATTGTGGATTGTTGTTTTAATTAGTTCACTTGGGAGAGAAAGAGAGGGAGAGAAATTGGGTTTAACGTCAACTCGACATAAACTAAGTCATTTCAGGACTAATATATGGTTCAATTTTATTTCAATAATTCGCGCATAGGGGTCTTTAGCAGTGAGGACCGGAGGACCCGAAGAAACCTCACGAGGTTGAACAGGCGACCCTACGCCTTGTCACGTACAACTGGGGAATCGAAACCACGCCAGTTGACTCAATGATAGACCTTATGATACAGCGCGCACGGGCTAACCATTCGGCTAAACAACCCCTTAGTTCACTTGGTTCATGTTTATATACGCACCTTTAAATCGAATATGTTACTATGTATCTCTATAACACCTGCGTGTATATACCTTGACGCACGTGGGAATCACGTGGCTAAGTGGGTAAGACGCTGGCATTGGCCGAGAAAGTTTATCCAGGTTTTCCGGCGTGGTTCCCCCTTGCCAGTGATGAAGGACGGAGGGCCTGACAAGGACAGCTGTCTAGTCCTTCGGATGAGACGAAAAACCGAGGTCCCGTGTATACATTGGAATGCACGTAAAAGATCCCTTGGCAGTTGGAATTCGATATAAGAGTAGGCGATAGTGCCGCTGCCCGGGCAAAATTTCCCTCATACCACACTGTATGGCGTATACTCGTCTTCATTAGCCCAGCATAGGAGCAGAACAGTAGGACGTTAAACCCCATTTCATTTCATTTCATTTACCTTGACGCACGATCCATTAAAATGGACCATCATCGTGTCTAAACTAATTTCAACAACTGTTTGTATAAATTAGACAAATCTTACAGATTAAGTTAAGCAGTGATACTTACCGATTACTTGTAGGTTTTTAGTCAATTCCGTACCGTTATAAGATGCATGGCATATATAAAGTCCTGACATAGTCGAGTTGATATTATTCAGCGGAAGTTGACTTGTAGATGCTACTAATTCACCACCTTTCATCCATGTATACTGACAAGTACCAGTACATTCAGCTGTACATGCTAAAGTCTCACTCTCTTCTTCTAACAATGTTAGTTGATTTGTCGCTGTTATAAAACCAGGCCATGAGGTTATCTGTATATTTTGGATACCAGTCTCTAAAATTAATATAAAATATCAGTTGCAAGTTTAATTGGCATGGGGGTGTCCATGGTCCTGGCAAAGGGGACTGAGCGGGGACATATGCGCTAGGGCGATACTTCTTGGGGGCGGCAAATTATCTAAGTGCATATTAGAGGCTGAGATCCTTTGTTTCCCCTAAACCTGTGTAAACAAGTTCATATTTCCGCAAATAGAGAAGGTAGAATTACGATTTTTCGATCAAATAGAGAGCTAAAGGGGGAAATGAACATAATTTTCTGAAGTATCAGTCGATTTAATAAATAGTTATCTAGATAAAAGTGTCAAAAACATAAACATTGTATTTTAAAATTTCTTTAATCATAAGGGGATCACGGTGGCTTAGTGGGTAAGGCGCTGGCTCGCTAGCCTGGAGGTCGGGTGTTCGATCCCTGCATTGGCCGAGAAAGTTCATCCCGATTTTCCGGCGTGGTTCCCCCTTGTCAGGGATGCAGGACGGAGGGCCTGACAAGGACAGCTGTCTAGTCATTCGGATGAGACGAAAAACCGAGGTCCCGTGTACACATTGGCGTGCACGTAAAAGATCCCTTGACAGTTGGAATTCGATATAAGAGTAGGCCGTAGTGCCGCTGTCCGGGCAAAATTTCCCTCATAGCACACTGTATGGCGTATGCCCGTCTTCATTAGCCCAGTTCGGAGCAAAACAGTAGGACGTTAAACCCCATTTCATTTCATTTCATTCTTTAATCATAAAAAATGAGTTTTATCTCAAACCGTTGACCAATTAAGTAGCCACACCAACCGTATACCATCGATGTATTGCATTTAAGCACGCGAAAATTGATTGTGGACCGATTGGAAGCACCTTATCATGTGCATCAATGTGTAACGACCGATCATTATCACCAAGCCTTACTTGCGAAGATGATGAAATGAAACATAGTACCATCGGGTAATCAGATAAAAAGACGAATTTAATAGCATTTGAAATTTATCAGGAGAATATGTTAAATATGCAATTCACGGTAAGACAGTATTACTACAGACACATCAGTACTGGTGATATCAACAATTCCCTCTTAGGTATGAAGTATCAATGAATCAAAGTATACTAATGTCCAAAAGAAAGTATACACTGTGCATTTTGTGCTGCATCAACCAAAGTCGTTTTTCAATGGCATACGGTATTTGGGTAGAATGTTAATTTGCTTCACATTTTTATTTTGCTTAGAAATGTTGAGTTTGGACGCAAGAGACAAACTCGGTAATGCTGTATCAAATGTTTTTAATCTAAACAAAACTTGGTCATACGTTTAGTGTGTATACTTTCTTTTGGACAGCAGTATAGTATAGCAGATACTACATAAAACAGAGTAGTCGTTCAAATATGGATATAATTATCAAAATTGGCATAAATACTCCTTCGGGCGTCTCCATTAGCTACTCGAAAGTCCAAAGGTTGAGTTCATTTTCGAAATAATTGACTTTTAGACAACGAAATATCAAATTTCGCGCGCGATTGTCCTATTTTATTGATCATAACATATAGGACCAAATTTGTAGTTACTAGGGTATATGCTTCCTGTTGTTGTACTAGATATTCCGATCTTTTCATTTCGTAAGCAGTTACACCCATGACACAACCTAGCAACTTCATTCATTTGCCTAGTATGCCACAAAAAAACCCTAATAATTCAATAGTCAAATCAATGGATAAGCTGGGGTTTAATATTCATTCATTACGTGTTCCTTTGTTTTCACAAAAAAAAGAAAAACATGGGTTACTAGGTGTTGCCTTTTTACGGGAGCGGTCTGATGAAGATCAAACTCAAAGTCTTCTAATATCTTTTGATCGTTAACATGCCGTATGTTTTATCTAATTACGTTCACAAATTGTGGCCTCTGGAGGTAACACAAGCTTTCACGATTATAACGTAAGAAGCATTTATTTATTTTTTTTTTTTTTTTTGCGATGCGCACAAAAATAGGACCTATCCGAGACATGTTGGACATATTCATATATTTTACTTTTCATCAAAAAAGGATGAAAATCGTGGCCCCTAGATTGTCCACAAACAAACGTGAACCGATGGACGACAACATAATACATTAACAAGAAAATGTGGGCGTATAAAAACCATCTAAATAGGTCCATTGGGTAATGTTATGTGAAAGAAAGGCAGTATATAGCAGCTATCTTGGAAAACGACGCCCATTTAGAAAATTCTAATGGCTAACGTGATTTCCTTAATAAATTACCCTAAACAAACAACCATGCAAATTTAACATAATGTACATTATGCAAGAGCTAAACTGCCTATTGCAGATCTTTCTTTAGGTCTGAAATGTTATATAAACTATTAATTAGACATTTATTAAACAAGACCATAATCAACTCTCGATGCCATAGGATACGCGAGATTTTAATTAGATTAGAACGTTTCGCCATTTAAAAATTTAATTTAAAAATGGGAAAGCGAGGCTAAGTCTCGAATATACCAGTGCTCTGGTTACCACAATGCACACATTTTGTCAAAACTACAAACAGTGATAACTTGGCTTAGAATGGAGTAATTTAAATGAAATGTTCAATATTTTCATTCTACATTATCTATTTGTGAGCTATTATAGCAAGAATGGTCATTACTCTACCCATATCTTACATAATGTATCTATCTGTAAAGGGCTAATCCCGATATTTTTTGGAGAATAAAACTGCTTAATTTTGTGTTAAAATCCCTTAAAATCCTCTAGCTGAGGGCCGAGCAACTAACTCAATATTTGTGATGAGTTTTCAAACCATTTAAACCCGTCAGTCTTCGTCTGGAAATGGAGACCGGTGTCCCAAGCTGTATTATGCGGTGTCTGGATAAAACCAGACTTTTATTTTATAAAAATAACGTGTAGTGGAAATTTACCTTTCGTTATCAAGTACAGCAAATGGGTCATTCACTACATTGACCTCTCAAGGAACGGGAATCGATTATCAGGTCACCCAACGAAAAAACTGACCCGAAATCTTAAAAGGGTTACGTGTCCGGATAAGCAATTTTGACATTCACGTCCAAACGACTCAATAATTTGAGCTGGAATTTTGAGAGAAGGTAAATACCCTATATCTCTATATTTTGGCGCTTAAATTTCATACGTACTCCGACTTATATTTTTGGGACTCTCTTGATATCGGGATAGTCCCTTTAAGTACTTGTATCCATATTTGATAGATGTTACTATTAGCAGCCCCCACTAGAAGTTTACATGTCAGCAATACTAGCCCACCACGTCTTTATATCAGCCTCACTAGAAGTTTAGATGTCAGTAATACTACTCACACCACGTCCCTAGAGTAATTGTAGTACTTGTATCAAGTTCGGTTGTCAGTAATACTACCCTCACCACACCCCTATAGTAATGGTGTGCGGGTAGTATTTTTAACAACTAAACCTCTAGTATTTTATCTAATATACATTTTGCTGTGTACATGAATAACCCAATGTAATTGAGTATAAATACAATACTAGTGTTATACAACTAACCTGGGGAAGTCAATGATGTGTATGCAGAGGTTACGCCGACGGTAAATGGGCCGCCATCATAACATTCCCACATACCTTTATCCCTCCCTGGGTCAAAACTAGTGATTGTCAGATTACTAATTGTACTGGATTGTTGTGACCCGGACCCGCAGGTTATAACAAAACGAGTTATGTCAGCGGGTTCTGTTTCAATTAATCTAAAACAAGGATTCATGAAAATAGTAATTCGGCCTTCTGGACCGTTCCAAGTTAATTCGATGTTACCAACAGCCGTACAGGTGAGAGTAACTGATGTACCAGCGTCGACAACATTGCTTGAAGCCACCAATGTGAAGTTCGTTCCAATAGAGGATGCATCTGTGAAAATAAGAAGACGATAGATTTAGCCGTTGTTAGCAAGAATCATTATCAGACATTTTTCTCAGCCGATGATTTTACACAAACCGATAATGATTTGATTTTATGTTTTGCTTAGTTGTTAGACTCGTCAGTTCACATCTGACCCCGAGTTCACGAAACATTCTCAGACTTAAGTTAAGAAATTACTCAAAAGTTTTCGCCTTATTCTAACTTTCGCCTTTAAGGTATCAAATACATCGGTAAGACACTGAGTGCAAAGTTTTGTGTTTCTGTATCAACGATATTTCTCATAAACAGACGGGCACTATGGCATACTCTTATATCGAATTCCAACTGAAAATGGATATTTTACGTGCACGCCAATGTGTACACTGGACCTTGGTTTTTCGTTCCATCCGAAAGACTACACAGCTGTATTTCTCGTGCCCCCCCGTCCTGCACCACTGACACGAGGAAACACGTCGGAAAATATCATCGACAAAGGGTTTGATGTTATGGTGCATGATTAAAACCAACACACACATATATATATATATATATATATATATATATATATATATAATTGAAATTAAAGATGGCAAAATTAAACTACATTTTTATGCTAACGTTTTCACCGCGATAGCGGCTCTTCAGGCATTTATTAAACAAATGACGTCACAATGTCATAGTTACATTATTATACAGGCAAGGGTAGTAATTTCTTAGCCTACAGACTACAAATATTCAATCCCACCACGGTCTTTATTTCATTTAATTTAATTTAATTATTCTCTTTGAAGTATGTGGTGGGGGTAAATTTAGTGTTTTTCCTTTATATAGACTTAATAGCAAAAACAACGACCTCTTGGAGGCAAAAGAAAGCTATTTTATTGAGAAGTACCACCCGAAACTTAATTCTAAATAAGAGAATAATTAAATTAAATAAAGACAGTGGTGGGATTGAATATTTGTAGTCTGTAGGCTAAGAAATTACTACCCTTGCCTGTATAATAATGTAACTATGACATTGTGACGTCATAGACTTGTTAATTGAATTATTGTTTAATAAATGCCTGAAGAGACGCTATCGCGGTATATATATATATATATATATATATATATATATATATATCAAAACATTTATAAAATATTTACAATGTATACTTACAATCTACATATATTCCTAAAAGTAGGCAGAGAAAGGAAATTCTGCCCATCTTTATTTTGACGTACTGAAAATAACCCACCATCACTCCGTCGCGGCTGATATACAAACGAACCAAGCCAAAAAGTTTAACGCTATTTTATCAATTGCGCACATCTATGTCAATGCAAACAAGACATAAATACAATCTTCGTGGGGACCTTTGAATAGATCGGCTAGATAAGCTATTGAATAAAGGAGAGGGTGTGGCGTGTCTGTACTCAGACTAACTATCTACACAACAATATTAAAGACACACTCCTCGATATATCCTCTATTTACTGTGATCAGATCATGAGATCTAAATGTATGGACTTTGTAAAAATAATTGCATTTAAAAATTCTAGGTATTTATGCTCCTTTCAAATAGTTTACAGCCAATTAAATCTTTTTGATAACTATTGAATTTGAAAGTTATTTATAGTTAACAAGCCAACAGTGAGGCTGATGTCCCCCGCCGAAATAGGAAAATAATTAGAGGACACATATAAATTTATCACAAATTATCTTTTACAAAGTATTGAACAATCAAACAGTATATCTTTACTTATAGTCTAACAATCAAAGTAGGAGAGTTATTGTTTTCCAAAGTCTCAATCAATCAAATTGCGTATCGCTCTGCTTACCCTGAGCAGAAAATGCTCATTATCAAACTTAGTCAAGGTATTACTGTAATGAAACTATACACCAAGTTTCATCAATCTCACTTAATTAGAACTAAAGTTATCGTGTCCCAAAGCATCAACCAATCAAATTGCTTATCTCTGCTTACCCTAAGCGGAAAATGCTCATCTTCGAACTCCATCAAGGCATTGACCTAATCAACACATACACCAAGTTTGAACATTCTAGCTCAATTAAGAAGAGAGTTATCGTGCCCCAAAGTATCAACCAATCAAATTGCTTATCTCTGCTTACCCTAAGCGGAAAATGCTCATCTTCGAACTCCATCAAGGCATTGACCTAATCAACACATACACCAAGTTTGAACATTCTAGCCCAATTAGGAAGAGAGTTATCGTGTCCCAAAGCATCAACCAATCAAATTGCTTATCTCTGCTTACCCTAAGCGGAAAATGCTCATCTTCGAACTCCATCAAGGTATTGACCTAATCAACACATACACCAAGTTTGAACATTCTAGCCCAATTAGGAAGTGAGTTATTGTGTCCCAAAAAGTGTGACGGACAGACAGACGGACAGACAGACAGACGGACGAACCCATTTTAATAGTCCCCTGCTTTCTTCGAAAGGCGGGGGACAATAACACAACACAACACAAACACAAACACACACACATATATGTTACTGGTTTAATCAGGATGCTTTAATGAGGTCGAGGCTACATGGCGTTGTATTGGTTAATTAATGCAGGTTGTGGCGACATGGCGCTATATTGGTTAATTCTTTTGTCGATATGCGCTTATTACATAGCGAGCAGCATAGATCGATGGAATTTAAATTCAACATACGTTTGTAAATACTGGACCATTTGTATACGCCCTCATTTTCATGTGGACGTATTATGCCGTTTTTATGGACACTCTACAGGTCACAATTTTTATCCGATTTTAACGAAAATTGAAATATATAAGCTTATCTCCTAACGATCGGTTCCTTTCGATATTGGCATGTATCGGACCATCAGTTCATGGATTATGGCTCCTGGTTGTACAAAAAATCACGTTTTTAGTTTATGGACACTCTAGAGTTCACAATTTTCATCTGATTTTGGTGAAACGTGATATGCATATTTATAAGCCAACGATATTGGTTCCTGTCGATATTCGCGCATATCGGATCTTAACTTCTTGAATTATGACCCCTCATTTTACGAAAAATCGCGTCTTTAGATTGTGGATTCTCTAGAGGTCATAATTGTTATCCGATTTTGATGAAATTTGAAATGCATGTTTATAACCCAAAGATCTTGGTTCCTTTCGATATTAGACTGTAACTCCCTGGATTATGGGTTTATGACTACTGAGTGTACGAAACATCATGTTTTTATGCTTGTGGATTCTCTAAAGGTTATAGTTTTTAGCCGATTTTAAAATCCGTTTAAATATATCACCATTCCAACATAATGTCAGTTGAGTTCGAAAATCGGGAAAATCAAAAGGAAACTGCCCGACAAAATGGCCGCTCTTTGTACGCAAATTGTGTGAAAGTATGTAATACGAAGGTTGAGGTCCTTCTAGGGGTCGCAATTTTTATCCTATTTTGATAAACTTAAAATATATCTTTATATCCCAAAGATCGCAGTCCCTTTCGATATTTGCGCATTTCAGACCATAATTTTCTTGTTTGAAGCTTGTTCTCTATCCATCTGTTGCAAAGTGTGGGCGTATCTTGCCTGGCAACCGCTGGTTTTGACTGATATTCCAATTAGAAATTAAATTTAAAGCTTCATGGGTTGAATATAATAGCGACGTTTCGCCGATGTTACTCTCATCTTGATCCAGAAAGAGTAATAACAAATACATGTTGGTGCTGCTGTTTATTATAATTTTAACGTCCAATGCTTTAGTTATGATATTATGGACAGGTTGATTTTAATTTACATATGAAGCTGGTATAAAAATGATAAAAAACCTAAAACGTCATTGTAGGTATGTAAAAGTTATACTGTTAAAAATCCGTGAATCATCTACTTTATTCCATTACTCGTATTCACTCTAGTTCGATACAATAGTAATGTTAAAAAGCTATTAAAATGCTTCTTCGTCAGAATAGAATCAAGTTAGGAAATTGGCTTGCGTTATCTGACCTCTGGAATATTTACAAATTAAAAACTAGCCGTGCGTTCCACTACTTTTACATTTAAAATTCATTAAGTTATATGGAAATTCTTAACGAAAATCAATAAACTTTAAATGCATGTTGCCGTTAGACGAGCTAAACAGCTCATATGAATGTCAGAAAATAAAGACCAGATCAAACTTAAAGCCTCTTAAGATGTTTACGAAATTAAAAATTAATTTACGAAATTAAAAATTAATTTACGAAATTAAAAAATTAATTTATAAAATAAATTATTAAATAAGTCGCCTATTTTGGTATGCTAGTGATTGACAGGTATTAGACGCCTGCTTGGGTCCTCAAACATTTTCGTTTACCAGACACGCCAAATTTTCTGATTCAATATAATGCTAGACATATTCAACTAAAGAAATTTGTTTACCCATCCTCAAAATGAATTCAAATAATTCAAGTTTTACAGAGATGAATTCAAATAATTCAAGTGTTACAGAGATTATATTTTAAAGGAAATATTCAAATAGTATTTTTAAAAAATATATTGACACGATATGCTTTTATGGACATTTCTGTGATAAAGAATCCCGCCTCTTTAAGGTAACGATCGGCCATTATTTAACGAACGAAAGCATACATATAGGCCTAGCCTGTTCATCCGTCCTATTCGTATTGAATAAAATATAGTTTAAAAATGAAAAACATTAATAACACAGGTCTATTTGCACTGGTGTCACGATATTATCTCCATTTTTTTTGTACTGGTTTTTTTTGCTCAGTATAATATCCATATTTATATTCTATAAGAATTTAAGTTTGAAGTAGGGCAATATAATACATGTATATCTTCTCACAAAAATGTTATGAATACTTTTCATAACGCCCGTGTTGTCTTCATAACGTCCTTGTTGTCTTCATCACGCCTTCTTTATCTGGATCGAGGAGAGTAAACAAGTTGAAACCCCAATCGGCTGTAGATGTTCGACTATTATTTACATAGGGCGTGGCGGTGTTTTAATATGCTAGTAGTACAAAGAATAGAGTCTCACTATAAAATATGAAAGCGATGTGAAACGTACCATAATAATAAAGTTAAAATACGACAGCCTTAAACTGTGAAAATATGTCCTATCTAAGTTAGATATCCAATACGAAAGCCAAGCTAGATACAATATGGAAACTGCGTTTCATAACCAAGATTGTACGCCAGCCAAAGATAAATGAAATAGAATGGGTTTTAACGTGCTACTGTCCTGCCCTGACTGGGCTAATGAAGATAGCATTCGTCATACAGTGTGCTATGAGGGACAATTTTACGTGCACGCCAATGTGTACACGAGACCGCGGTTTTTCTTCCCATCCGAACGACTATACGTTGTCCTTTGCAATGTTTTTTGTCCTGCACCACTGACCCAGGGGAACCACAGAAACTTCCGATGAACTTTCTCGGCCTAGGCAGGGATTGAGCACGGAACCCCCAGGTTAGCGAACCAACGTGGCGCTCTTTAAAAATAAAAAAAGTACATTCGACGGCTGAACTGAATGGTAAGTCCTACATGTAGCCTACTTGGAGCATTAAATAATACGGGTTCTCTTTACAGCCGAAGATTCCATTAATTAATTTAATAAAATCTAATTGATTAGAAACGATTTGCATGGATATCAGACAAATGACAACAGCGTTGTATTCCATCAAGAGTAACCCATCCGTGTGTCAAAACGGGTCATGGTTTAATTAGGTAAATTCTGCAAAGCCGCAAAGCATGATGGGGTACTATGATAGCGATAGGCTACGAACAATTTTCATTTTACTTTTAATTTGATTTTGATTTTTACTTTCATTTAAAGGAGATAAATCGCTAATATTCTGGACCTAGAAATTGGCACAAATGGGTCGCACCACATATAATAATGTAATATGAATTTATATAAACTGTTTTACATTGAATCGTGTCCGTTCAACACCGATATTATTTATTGCGCATGCTCTCCAAATAAGAACATGATATCACCGTTTGACATGACTTGTGTAATATGTCTAGCCTCATTCTTTGAGCACCTTGTTACCAATGGCGATGAAACGCATAATGGTACACGATTCGTGTAAAATGTTTATTTTGTCTTAAATATTGGATATCAGAAGCCCATCTTTTCCAGGTAAGATCACAACACCAATGCTGATTTAAATTGCAAAAAAAATCGTGTTTCCAATGTCGAAGATTTTGGATGATATTGAGTTACGGACTTAGCTACTTTAATTTCATTTTTGATATGAAATTCATTTTGATTTTGATTTTATTTTACTTTTCAATTTGATTTAACTTTTGCTTGTAATTATATTTTAGTTTTACT